AATGTCAATCATGTCAAAATATACATGAATCTAATAAAAACTCATTTTTTTAAAAAATGTAAAAATGGGCCCTTTTAGTTGACGACACTCTATATTGTATTCTAGTTTTTCGAATGCTAACATTTGCTTACGCATAATTTTTTTATACTATAGTTATATGGTTCTTTTAACTATTCTTATAAGTAAGTTAGACTAATATATCAATGAAATTGCTAAAATAAATAAACTATTAATTATTTGTTATTATTGTTCGTTATAATTATTATTGAAATACAGTTATGGTTTTAATCGTAATTTGCATGATAAAATATGATAAATTAATATGGGCTCCACTTTATATTATAGGGTATGATACCGTAATTTATAATTTGTTATAATCTAATTAATATTTAATATGATTCCTAAATTTTCGTTTTTTTTTTTTAAGAATCTGTATTATTTTATGGTATGGATTCCTATGTAAGTATTTTATGCATACATTCCTCTTGTAATTTGTTAGCATTTTTAATTACTCTTTTTAAATTTTATGCAAAAGATTCATACACAACGGCTACATTCGATGAAATGGGAGATATTCCTTTCTCCTGTCCTGCACATTACAATTATACTTCACCTTTAATCAGAACAGCATGCCAAGTTCGTTCAGCAAATTTGGTTTTTATGTGCGTAACTGGAATAATGCTTGCAGCACCATTAATACCTGATAGGTAGGGACACTTTAAGATCACTGAACCCAGTGATCTACATGACGTCATTTGTTTACTAGCACTAAACAAATCAGCCTAAATTATACTCTAACCCTTACCCTAACTCTAAATTAGGTACTATGTTTAATCTACCCAGTGGTATTAAGGAAGGAAATCGTGATAAGTAACGTGATTAAATAGTCACGTTCCTTCCGGAACATGAATGGTGGGACAAGTTGCATCTGTCGCATCCGTTACATGCGACATATGCGTAATATATGGAATATAGTGGATATTTTTAATAAATACAATATGTATCGCTAAAAAAACAAATTATAAATAAAGGCCATGAAGGCCCTACGGAAAAAATAGAACTCCCACCTTTGCTTCACTATAAAAACAAAGTCCAAATAAATTTATTAAATAATTGCCTCTCATTATTACATTAACACTGCTTCGCTAATATCTACTATAAACTCAAGTTATAAATTGTTATTCGCCAATTTCTTGCTCACGTGACCTAACCTCTTTGACCTGCGTAATCCGAGCTTTAGTGTTCCACTGGCCCAATCTAACTATTGCTGCAAACCAAACCCGGTAATTTGGGACTTAGAAGAATCCCAAAGGTTTTTACTAGATTCTACAATTGTGTCGTAACCCAAACTATATTTGGGACAAGTCAAAACTTTCTGACCAAATCCTAAATGGGATATCACATGGTGGGAATATGATTGGTAGATTACGAGATTATCATTAATAAGATCGTTCGTTTGCTCAATTTTTATTCACGTATTCTATTCATAACCTCTGGTGGGATTTAGAAGCATACTTAACAGAAGTTAAAATGCCACTCTATACAGAGAAATTACATTTCGGGAGGTAATTTTGTTATTCTTCAAATTATTTGAGTGCTGCTAAATTGAAACCTGAAAGTGAATTTTCAAGTTCTCATTCGCGGTGAACTGATCGTATTTATAATTATAGTTTTCAGGGTTAAGTTCTCTATGGCGAAAACTAAAATATTAACTTCCTGGTTTTTAACTTGGCAGCACTCGTATCAGGTTTAAACTTTAATATTAGCTATATTTAAGGTCTTCATCACAATTGGAAGCAAAAGAATATATAGCTTAATTTGTGTTTTGTAAGAAATTTTAGCTAATATTGAGCAGAAAGATTCGGTAAGGTCATAGTGATAGTAGTTGTAATTTAATAGTAAAGACCATTTAAAGAGTTGTCATGAACAATTGAATTAAATTTTTGATATAGTAATAACTCAAAATACCAATATATTGTATTTATTTTAGTATTTAGTACATGATGCATATTATTATTGATTTACAAAATTTGTATATAAAACAACAAATAACTTTTGATTTACTTTAGGGTTAGAGTAAAATCTAAGATTTTATCTATGTATTAGTATATGCAAATTTTAGCAAGAAATTTTTTTAATTAGAATCTCAAAGGCAGTTTTATAGACAAAATTTTGAAATATTAAAGTTTTTTTAAAAAATTTAAAGAAAAATATTGGTTTTTGTTATATAAGATCTTTATGTTGTATAAATAATTTACAAATTTGATTGGCTAAATTAAAGGATGCACTGCAGTACATGTGTACTATATTTTAAAACCCTATTTTTATTATTAGTGTATAATTTATTATAATATAAAATAATATTGTAGTTATTTTATACAATAAAATATAATAAAAATTTTTATTTATAAAAGAAAGAAAATGTCAAACTCTAATAAATAACTTTTAGAACAGATTCTTATTAATAAATTATAATCTATCTCTGCAGACTCTTGATAATAAACAAATAAATTGTTTATTAATCTGATTTTGATTTTGATAACAAGTATAATTCATACTAGTATTTTTTGAAAAAAAAATTTATTTTAATATAGTTCAACTTTAACCCTATTTTGATAATAGTATTAGAGGTTTTATTAATATATTTTATATCAAAGAACTTTTTTTAATAATATTTAATAAATATTCTATATATATATCTTTTTTAATAACTAATAGCTAATATTAGATATTCTATATATATATTGTCAACCTTAGGATCTACCTCTTCAAGGATTCCTAGTGACTGCTGATTATAGTATGAAGACTATAATATTTTACAGCTTTAGATAGTAA